TTCCTTCCTTCCTTCCTTCCTTCCTTCCTTCCTTCCTTCCTTCCTTCCTCTTTCTTTCTTGCTTGCTTGCTTGCTTGCTTGCTTTGCTTTGCTTTGCTTTGCTTTGAAGGACCAGCTCTTACTTACCTAGAACTCAGCAATCCAGAATGGCTACAAAGCAAGCTGAGATTTTATGGTGTTTGTGCCACCATTTGCCAGCATATAGATGTGGGATTACACGTTGTGTGATCAATATGAATTCCTATCCTTTAAGAATCGCCTCATGATTTTTAAGTTTCTGAACAACTGAACGATTGTTGAAGATACTGTTACTTGAAAGGAGAAGAAATAAGGAGAAAAAAAATGAATGGAGGGAATTGTTAGATGATATGGTAGAACAAACATTACATCATCAACATAGTGAGAGGGTAAAAGGGAGTTCCCTTAAGGTACAAACAAAATTTCACCATCCCATTTATTTTTACTTTTAATTTAGTTCACAGACTTCAAAACCTGCTCATTATCACCAAATGCTCTTTCAAGTGATGAAGGGCTGAAAGAAAAACCGAAGTCACCTCCACACAATATATAAGAAATGTTGGCACATCCAGATCTTCCTAAGGAAAGAGAGTTAGACTACAGAAATGCTGAATGCAAGCCTTATCAATTCCATCCTTCCTTCCTTCCTTCCTTCTTCCCACTCATAATACACACATACGCCCCTTGTATGTTAGGAACATTGCACTGGAGGGAATGTATAAAAACTCTGAGTTAATTCTTCTCTGAGGGCTTGCTATCAGTGAGGTACAGGGTTAAAGTAGAAATACTTGATTATCACTTGACCACACCCCAGTGAGGAAACTGAGGCTCAATAAATTTAAGTAAAGTTCTGAAAGACACATGGCTTGCAAACAACTGAGATGGGATTTAAAACAAGGTTGTTTATTAACCACTGGGCTCCACCATCTGACAATGGGGAGTAAATAGTGATCCCTGGAAATAAATGACCCCCATTTTCTTAAAGGGCAGAGATCAGTTGAGAAAAATAGCCACTTTGATGGTATAGACCTGGAGTGTGTGGAGGACCTTTGCACTACGAAGAATGGAATTGCTGGGCCCACTGATGGCGCCTAATAATTGACAGATGGCCTGTCTAAGTGACTCATATGCAACTCAAATTTCAGGTCTGGAAAGGACATGGGCTAATGTGGAAAGGAGGTTCATCCCTGGGCAGCTTCTGTGGCCAACCACCCTGTTTAGACAGTTCTGTGTTCATGGAGAGCTCTCTGCTACAGTAAGCAAAATGTGTACAACCTGATCCCAACTTTTATTATACACAAAGAGGCTGTTTGTAACCAAATCATACCTACCTGGGCAATGTGCTCTGTATACAGATCTCCATCAGTCACACAACAGGTGCTTAATTCTTGGTGACAAAAGGTGACCTCAATTTCTTTAAAGATATAGCAAGCCCTAAGGATCCAATTATATGGGGATTGGGCCAAGTGATCCCAGAGGCCCTGCCTTCTACTATTTTGAGATATTTACAAAATGCAGATAAAGGAATTGGAAAATAGAAATACATAAACTGGGAGAAGAGAGAGAGAGAGAAATTGACTTCTGAAATTATTAGCCTGTCAACATAACATATGGAGAAATATAGCAACCATTGATGAAAATATCAAGTTGTCAGCACTTAAACAGAATGCTAAGAAAGCACTAAGCTGTACAACCATATAACACACCAAGCCTCTTGGACTAACACAATTTCCTTATGAGACAAAATGGCAGATGATGAAGCTGCAAATGGGCCTGAGTACTAGATACTTGGGGAAAGGTTAGACTCTTTGGGAGTAAGCTTGGCGAGTTTGCCAAATCTTTGGGAATGGTTCATTCTTTAGCATTACAGGACAGTCACAAGTACCTAGAACAGGAGGAGCTTCTCACCTTCACCTTGCAAACCTGGCATTATTGCTTTTTTATGGTCTCCTGGCTCTGGGTGTAAAGTCAGAGGCCAACACTTATTGAGTAAGTATTCGATAACACTGGTTGATGGAAATAGTAGGTGCTCTGTAAGTACCTGCTCTTTGAGTCATTAATGCTTGAAAACACAGTATTTAGTCATAACACTCCACCTCACTACACTAAAGCCAAAACACAGTGTCCCCATTTCTGATTTAGGGAGAACATTCGTCATTTTAAAGAAAAGTATATAAATACCACAACCTTCAAAATTATTGAGACTTTTGACATTAAAAGCAATACAGAGTCATTGTAGAAAAATCTTAAAATAATTAAAAACAGGCCAGGCGCAGTGGCTCATGCCTGTAATCCCAACACTTTGGGAGGCCAAGGAGGGCAGATCATGAGGTCAAGAGATCGAGACCATCCTAGCCAACATGGTGAAACC